AGCATGAGTCAAGAATACAGTTATGGTATACAAGTCAGAATAATGACAGATAATGTCAGTTTTTATGTGCATCTGTGTTGTACCTGAGTACAAGCAGAGCAGTCTCTGTATTCTTCACACATGGTGCAGTGCTGGGGTGCTAACAGCAGATGGAGCTGACCTTCCATCTTCCCTTCACTGTTCAGCCCCTCAGGGCAGGGTTCGAGGTCTGGGCTGTCACGCAGCAGACAGCGGGACAAAGACGGGCACCAGCCACAAGACTGGTCTGACAGGCAGGCCAGACAGGACATGTACCCTGAGCAGGAACCTGAGCGGTACGGCTCCGAGAATAGGAAGGAGATCTCCTAGAAGGAGATATCACAAGATATAAAGGAAAGGGTATTAAAACTATGCTTTTGTTTCATGATCTAAGAAAAATCACAAAGGAATTTTGCACAACTTAGTTTTGCTGTTGAAGTTAAACTCACACTTCCTCCAGGCAACGTTCTGTTCCAGATCAAGGCCATCTCACTTGTCTGTCCTGAGCCCGAGTTGTTCAGGTAGCCCTCCGCCTGAACAAGGTAATGGTTTCCCCGAGTGAGGTTAGAGAAAAGTCGACTCCCATCTGGTCGAGTCAGGAGCTTCAGCTCCTTTTCCTGCTGAGCTGCCCAGTGACCCACCACCTCCTGATCAGCAAATGGGTTCACAATGCACAAAATATGGACATGAAGAAAATATGGATAAAACAGTAAAAAACGTTCAATCACAATATTGAGCCCTGGGAACGAGGATATTGGCTTTCACTGAGAATTGTAAAGCCTTCCAATATTTGTCCATATGAAATTTAAATTACTTCATTTTATTATCTAATCTACTACAAATCCAGTGAAGGATTTAAAAAAGAGACAAAAGGTATTTCAATTTGCTGAAATTTAAAAAAAAAAAAGATTAGCGCTGACATGCACTTCTCCTCACCATCTGGCTGGAGTTGGGTCCTGTTGCCATTCGAGCCTCAAAGTGAAGCCTCTGGATGCGAGCCCACATGGAGACTGTCTCTGTAGGAGGGGGTGCAGGTGGAGGCCCGCCCCACAATGGGTGGACAAACCCCCTAAACTGTAAGGCTAC